GAAAACGGTGGTCCCCCCCCCCCCCCCAGCATGTCCTAACCGAATTTCCTCGTGAAAGAAAATGTACACTCTTGTTCCCCGGAAGGCCGATCCTGCTTAGTAAAGAAATAATCTCCCTCTAATTCTACAGGCGATCTTTCAGTGGGGACGAGGACACTGTTTTCAGGGGTGGAGGGCAGGGAGAATTCCCGCCCCCAGGCACTCCTCTTAAAACCTCGAAGTGTACCAACCGTGCTTGCAGGGCTGCGGATCCCTGTCCTTTCTTCAATGGCGTAGAAAAGGCGCAGGCCAGAAGAACGGAGAGTGTGCGGCATTCTCTTTCTGCCAGGCGCCGGCCTTGCCTTGAGCACCTTGTCTTCACTGCGGACGAAGGACCGGTCCTGCTCGGAGAACTCGAATAACCAAGGCCTGGCCATTTAAACTCCACAACTGTTGCATCGACTTCAGATTTATCGGAGCAAAGCCTCACTGCAGAATCCCCCCCCCCCAAAAAATAAAATAAAACCCCACCTGGACTTCCCTTAGGGTGGTCTTTTTGGAACCTGCAGTGGCGGCGTCAGAGATGTCGTCTGGTTTAATTTGCTTGGGCTAGCTAAAGAATTATAATTATATTACCTCGAAGAGAACTTGCCTGTGTTTAACCGTAAACTTCGAAAATAAATGCATTTTGCTCAGAAACGTAACTGTGCTTTTGTTTTTACTGCAAAATGCCCCACGGGTCAGAGGACAAAAACCAAATACAAGGTTAACGGTTAAGGCCGCAGAAACTCCTTTTGTTCCTGTTGAACGAGATGCATTCTTACGCACGCACATATATAGATATACGTTTATATGTATACATTCATTATATATAGGAAGCGATGGGTTCTACAAGAATGAGAACTTGTTTCTTTTTTCAGCCTTCCATTAAAAAAAAATAATTACTATTATTTGTTAAAGTACTAGTGACAGTTTGGGTTTTCTGTCTATGATACACATATGTGCTAAACTATAAATAGGTTGGTGAGGTTTTTTGTTTTGTAAGGAGACCCTTTTAAACAAAAACAACTTACCTTTCCTCCTGTGGTGATTCCTTGGTGAAAAGAAAAAGAAAAATATTTTATTTGATGCTTGTGTAGGTTTTGCAAGAACAGACCAGAAATATGTCAGACCCAGTCAAAAACAATGTGTGGAAAAATAGAATAATAATTATCCACAAAATAAACTGTTTCCGTTACTATTGCCATAAGCGTTTGGACTGAAAATGATCGTTCCTTCTATGTGAGTGCGCGTGTGCGTGTCTGTGTTGTGAAAACGCTGGGAAAGAATTTTAATGTTGAGCTTCCTGTTGATATTTTAAATATTTTAAAAACGGCCTGACCTCGTCCAGACACACGCACACATTTAACAAGTCTCTGGTTTGTAATAATCGAATGTAGCGTCATAAGCAAATTAATACGGGGGGGGACCACTTTCAGAAGTGCTGACTGCCGCACAGTTCCCGAGTGAATTAATTTGATCGTAGTAAAGATCCCTCATTAGGTCGTGCTCATTTATTTTTGGCTGCAAACACCAAATTCATAGAATTTCTGTGGAAGAAACCCCCCACCCTGTACATATTTAATCAACACACAATTCGTGCTCAGAGACCGAAAAAAGAAAATGACGGTCTCGAACGACAGAAAATGGAGCAACACCGTCCTCTAGTGGCGGCATGAAATCTTGACCCTCAATCCGGTGGCGCTTCACGAATAGTGTTCCTTCTACAGAGGATTTGAAGGGAATGCATTAGCTTTGACTCTTGAGTTGTTGTCGAAAGGTTGCTTGTTTCCAAAAAACATTTATTTTCAGTCGGCTAAGGATGACTAAGTAAGTAATGCAAAAAAAAGAGGGGGGGGAGAACCTTCACTGAGCGTGCAATTATTAGAAAGCATTTACAAATACTATTGACAAATAAAACCCTGGGCACACCTTCCTAAATCTTGAGTGACAGGGCGTTCCTCGCAACGCAGATGCAGTGTCGATCCTAGTTAACTAAGGGCACAGAGTTCATTCTTTCATCTGCGCTTAATAAATTGAAAAAGGTTTTGAAACATTGCTGTTATAATATAGGTCGTGTGACTCCCCTACCGCTAGAAAACGAGCTTAAACCTGTCTACTCAGAAGTAAATCTGAATTTCTTCCATGGGCCTTACTCTCAGGAAAGTGTTTTTAGGGCTGCGGCTCTGTTTCGTTTGTTCAGATTTTTGTTCTCAGGTTCATAAGCCTCCTGCCTTGAACTTGCCTATTTCATTCTATTCCTCACTGCAAGACCCAGTCAAATTTCTCTCTCCCGTGCTTATTAATCTGGGGGTTCAAAGATATCCACCTTCCTCATCCACCCAGGGCATGGAGGCTCCGCTAGTAAAAACAAGTAGTAAAACCGTTTATTGGAAAGGGTGTCCCTGTCGCCACACAGCTCGCTCTACGGTGCCATTTTGCAATCAATAAACCTGGACTTGGGGAGGAAACCGCGGCAAGTTTACACGAGTTTCCGTCTCAAGTGGGACTCGAACCTCCTTTCCCAAGGGGCGTTCCTTCCAAGGTCTAAATCCCCGCTGAAGAGGCCCCGCTCCAGCCTTTCTGTGGCCACACGTCCGTAACCTAATTCATGACTTCCAAAAAAGAAAGAAAGAAAGAAAGAAACTCCTGCCTTTCCAAAACGGCGCCCAAACCCACCCGGATGGGTTTTTGATCCTCTCGACATTTTACAGGCCTCTCCCGCTCCCCTTGACTCTTCTTTGGGCTCCTCCGGCGGCAGACTGAAATTTATAGTCCAGGTTTTTAGGACCTGGGTTTTGTCTGCAGGGGTGTTTTCTCCGGACAAACACAAACATCAAAATAAGATGAGTCTCAAAGAAAGGGGAGGGGGTAGCCATTGCATATCATAAACTCATTAAGTCCAGACGTCTAGCCTTCTCAATGGTTTTATGGCGGCTCGGTTCTTCCTGTTCTTTAAAAAAAGGGGGGGGGGGAGAATGATAGGTAGGGAGAGCTGGCCATGAATGGGGAGGCGAAGACAACACCTTTCTCCGAGGCCTTTATCACTGTTGTGTGTGTGTGTGTGGGAGATAGCATCGACAGACCCAACAGGGCCCCTAGGTCAGGTCTCTGCCGCTGTTGTCCTTCACAGTTAAGTCTTCTTTCACATTGTCGTGAGCGGCCAGCTTGTTTTGTAGAGTCTTTAATTTCACCGCAATAACCCGCCTCGATTTTCTCCAACTAATTCGGGAACTCCTTCCCTTCCTTTCCCCCGCCCCAGTTATCCATAAATTCCGTGTACTTGTGCTGTGTCTGCACAGTGGGCACCGTCCAACCACTCCGAAGTCCCATCCGTTGCCCGAGCGGAGGGTAAGCGGGCGCCGGCACTCGAATCGGACCTCGAAAGCGCCAGACGGGTCTGTCTCAATGCGTCCGCACGGCCCAAACACTGGCTGTTGTTCAAACAAAAGCTCCTTTCCTACCACTTGGCCGAGGTCGTAAATGTTCATAAATGTTTAATGGAAGAGGGCATATTATTAAATACCCATTTCAAGCACTGGCGGAGGAGACCGTGTCCAACAGACTCCTGTCTATCAAGTTAAATTTTTTAAAAGTAGCGAGGGGGGAGCGCTGTTTCCAAAGGGCACCGGGAAGGCAGCTTTAATCACTACGCGTCAACCCTGTTTGAAGATGTCTCGACCTGCCGAACAGATTCTCGGAGCTGAAATTGCCTAGCTGCATCTCTGGGATGTGTGTGTGTGTGAGAGAGAGAGGGGGAGGGGTGGGGGGGGGGGACACAACCCGGCTTTGTACCTCCAAAGGCCATAAACTACCCGCCATGTACAAATGCAAATCAAAGTTCATGAGGCCCTTATCAGAAGAGAAGGTCGCGGGCAGCGGTCTAGAAGCCGGATTTTTTTCTGTGCCCTGGCTTCTCCACCTATGTCGAGTGTGGATCTAGAACCGCGTCGCCCTCTCCACCTATGTCGAAAGGTCGAGTGTGGATCTAGAACCACCTTCCTGTCCCAGCCCAGCTCCTGGGAAACTACCCCAGGCCTGCTTCAGGTTCAACTAGAGCAGGCTTCGGCAGAGAAAAGTCTCCAGGCTGAAGAGCGACTGAAGGCCTCCCGACCGAGACACCGCTTGCTCCTTCTCTCTGGAGCCAGTAGAAACCCTCTGCTTTGCGAAGAGTTTTCCTGATCACCGAAAGAGTAAATCCGTCTAGAAATACTTCCCTGTCTTTTTGGTGTGTGTGTGGGGGAGGGGGGGGGTTTCATCCGAGCTCCGGAGCGATTCGAGCGCGGCCTGTTTCCGCCCGGCACAGTCCAAACATGCAAACAACAAAAGCATTTCCCAACCTCCTCCCCTCTCCTCCCCCTCATTCTTTTTTTTTTGGGGGGGGGGCGGGAGAAAAATCTTCATTTTATTCCACCAACTTTTATTATCACCGTTACAAAAAAGAAGTATGTCCTTAGGTAGGATTTCAGGTATGGCGAAACGGACCGCTGCATCTGGGCCCGGCGCTCAATCTAGTGCAGCCACGAGGAAGGAAGGGGCTTTCCTTTTCGTCCTTCTTGTCCCTTGCCAAGCAAAATGTGCAGGAGAGAATCGGGGAGGAAGACGGTTTCTTTTTTTTTTCTTTCCCTTTTTCCCTCGGGAAATTCTGGATCACGGGCTACCACCACCAAAGGAATCCTGATTATCATCCAATACTACTGTCTTCGTCGTCATTTTTGCCTTTTCTAATTTTTGGGGGGAGGGGGTACACTCCCTCGCTCTAGACTAGGTCCCTTGGAAAAAGCATTGTCCAACATTTAATTTTAGATAACGGCACCCTTCCCCCCCCCCCACCACCACGTGCAACCCACAATATCTTGAAAATAAACAAGGGAATTGGGGTGGGTGGGGGAGAGGGCGAAAAAGAAAGTTCAGAAAGACGCTCTCCAGCAAGGTAGAGACCTCCCGCCCCCCTTCCTCTCCAAAAAAATACCTGACACAGACCACATTCACTGCTACCGTAAATCAGAATAAAGATAACCACCAGATCAGTTTAACGTTCTGAGCCAATGCGCCTGGGGAAAATAATAATATTAACAATAATTACTATCCAGAGTCGTGTGTGTGCGCCTTGAGAGAAACCCCAGTGCATTCCACATACACACGCGCGCACACAGAGAGGCACGCATTCCAACACACCCGTACAGACCAGACAAACGTGCATTCATACCTCCATCGCCACTCACACCACCCAGGCGCTAGTCCCCTTTATTGTTTTTCTCCTTGTTCATTTTTTTCATCTTCATTCGCCGGTTCTGAAACCAGATTTTGACCTGTCTCTCGGTCAGGTTTAGAATCCGAGCCACCTCGTACCGGCGGTCCCGGGTGAGGTACATGTTAAAGAGGAATTCCTTTTCCAGTTCCAGGGTTTGGAATTTGGTGTAGGGGCAGCGCTTTTTGCGGGTGGAGCGCGCGTGGATCCAGTTGGCGGCCGGGTTATCTGGAAAGAGGGGACGGGGGGGGGAAGAGAGAGAGAGAGATAAAAGAAAGGGGGGGAGGAAGAAGGGAGGGGGGAGGTTAGCGTTTCGGGAGGTGAAGCGGGCCGGCGTGGCTGCGGCAGGGAAGGGAAGGGAGGCGAGGGGTCGTTAAATGCAGTAAAGGGAGGGCCCGCCTGCTCGCCGCCTGCCCATAAAAGCGCCGGCCCGGGCCCGGGCCCCGTCTGCTGCCCGTCTCCGGGAGGGCGGCGCGTGGTTCCGGGGGAGCCTCTCTTTTCTTTATGGGTGCTCGTAGAGGCTCGCGTCGGGGCTGGGGCGGCGAGACGTTTTTATAGGTTAGTAAAACTATCAGTTTTGCACATTGGGAGCCGGGCCGGTTGGCGCAATAAATCAACGCGGGCGCGATCCCGGGCCTTTCTCGCCGGCTCGCGCGCTCTCCCTTTCCAAAGAACAACTTACTTGGGTCGAGTTGGTGCTGCTTCTCTTCCTTCAGGGGGTCGCTGCTCGGGCTGGGGTTGCGGCTGCAGGCAGAGGTCGGCTTGCTGGGGGCGGCGGCGGCGGCGGCGCTGGGGAGGGGGCCGGCTGGAGCGCCGTTGCCCGCCGCAGCCAGGGCTGGCTTCTCGCGGGCTTCTGCCAGGAAAGGGTTGCAGGAGTACTCGGGCCCGGCGCCGGGGGGGACCGCCGGCGGCTCCCTGGGCTGGGCGCCCTCAGTCCTTTTGGAAGGAGAAGAGGAAGAGGAGGCGGCGGCGCTGGAGGCGGCGGCGGCGGCGTTGGAGGCCGAGGAGGAGGAGGCGGCTGCTGAGCCGGTCTCCGGCTTGACGATCCCGTAGTGGCGCCCGGCGACCGAGGAGGCGGCGGCGCCCGGGGGCGCCCCGGCGTTGTGCCCGCCATGTCTGGGGCTGCTGGGGAAGGAGGAGGCGAAGGGCTCGATCCAGGAGCGCACGTATCTGCCTCCCCCGCCGCCGCCCTCGCCGGGCCCCCCCAAGTGGGGCTGGGGCATGTAGGGGTGGTAGATGCCCGGCATGGCCGCCGACGGCTGCGGGTGGACGGCCGACCACGAGGCGGCGAAGACGGCGGACTTGGGCGCGAAGCTGCAGGAGGCGAAGTCCGAGCCCTCGGCCAGCACACCTGAGGCCGCCCGGGGGCTGGGCTGGGGGTGGTGGGGACCCCCTGACAGGAACCGGCCGCTCCCCCCGCCGCCGCCGCCGCCGCCGCCGCCTCCGTAGGCTTCCTCGCCCTCATGGCCTATCAGAGAATCGACATAGTAGTTACTCAGGGCGCCGCTGGAAGACATGTCGGGCCGGCATACGGGGAGGGGGGGGCGAGGAGGCAAAATAGGTGACTCCGAGCAGTGTCGAGGATCGCCCGGCCCGCAGAACAATCCCAGGATTTTGCGGGCTGCCCGCCTCAGCCATTGGCCCCGCCGCCCACGTGATCATATTTACCAATACTCGGAGTAAATCAATCCGCTAAATGGAGCGGTGGGGGCGCAGAGGTAGGGGGCCGCGATTATTTTATTTGGAGACATCCCCGCCCGCCCAAGAGGGGAGACACCCGCCCCCCCTCGATTAATAACGGGCGGGGGGGAATAAAGAGAGAGAGACACACACCCCTCTCGCTTCTTTCTCCGTTGCAACAGGAGGACGAACCCGGGATCCCGTCCCTCGCCGCGGGACTCCAAGCGGGCGTGGCTCCGCAGCAGCAGCAGCAAGTTGGGGGGGGGGACTATTTCTTCACCTCCTTGGAGTGACTCCTGCCACTCGTTTCTCCGCCACCGGCCCCGAGCGCAAAAGGGCTTCCTCCGAACGGCCTCCAAGTCCCCACGCGGAGGTGAGGGGGGCAGAAGCCAGCCAGA